CTTCATAATTTTTTAGTATTTAAGAAATCTTAAAAATTAAAATATAATTATCTCATTTCCCCCTCCTTCTCCTCCCTCCATTTCTTCCCATGTTCCCTCCTCATGTTCTCTCAAATTTATCTTCTATTTCTTTAATTATAATTTTCTACATATGTATATAATAGATAAATGAATCAACATAAATAAAACATTTTAAGTCTGTTTAGTGTTTCTTGTATGTATATGTCTTCAGGACTGAACACGTAATATTAGATAACCTATTAGGGGCTTGTCCCTGGCTAAAATAATTCTCCCTCTCTTAGCATTTCTTAATTGCCTATACCTTTTCATCTTGGGTTGGATTCTTGTGAAATAATCATTCTTCCATGTTATCATTTCTATTGATTTTGTTCAGGTCTTCCTTAGGTAGCCATATTGTTGAGGTTTCATGGGTCTAACTTCCATGGCAGACTTACAATCTGTCTGTCTCCTCTATAGTTCCCTAAACTGTAGGTGAAGGGGTTTGTAGTAGATGTATCAATATGCGTTGGGCACCCCTGATCTTTGCAATTTTATACCATCTATTGCTCCTGGTTTTTATTGTTACTGTTTCTTTAAGTCTTTGTGGTACTTAATTAAGTTATTCGAGATCTCTCTTATTCTTTAAGGAATGCATATGGCTATGAATGTTTCTGTTAGAACTGCCTTAGCTGTAACTCAGAAGTGCTTGTAAATAATGTTACTACTTGTATATGATTCTAGCTAGTTTTAAATTTCCTCCATGATTTCTTCAGTGGCCCACTGGTTATTACAGAATGCACTTGTTTAATTTTTTAGCATTTGTGTAGTTTCGTATTTTTAAAATTTGCTTTGTGGCCTATAATGTGTGGTAAAAATAGTGACAGTTCTAGGAGTTGCTGAGAAGAATGTATGGCTTTTTTTGGACTGGTTATTTTGTACATATCTGTGAAGTCCACATATTCAAGCACATGAGTAGGTCCTGATTGCTGCTATGGAATGCTCTCTTATTGGATCACGGGTATATTGCAGTTTCCATGATGTATATTCTCAAACAGGTTGGGCATTTAAAAAACTTGTCTTTATCAATAAAGGTCTTGCTTATGACGATTGCCAGAGATTATAATGCATTAATAGTGGCACTGGAGTTGTTTAATCCTCTCTAAGAAAAAAGGTGTTTCTTCTTCTTCTTCTTCTTCTTCTTCTTCTTCTTCTTCTTCCTCCTCCTCCTCCTTCTCCTCCTCTTCCTCTTCCTCCTCTTCTTCTTCTTTGAACTTTTTTTATTTAAATTAGAAACAAGCTTGTTTTACATGTCAATCCCAGTTCCCTCTCCCTTCCCTCCTCCCCTACTGCCCACCACCCTGTATCCCATATCCTTTCTGCTCCACAGGGAGGGTGAGACCTTCCATGGGAGAACCCTCAAAGTCTGTTATATCATTTGGAGCATGACCTAGGCCCTGCCCCGTGTGTCTAGGCTGAGAGAGCATCCCTATATGTGGAATGGGCACCCAAAGTCCATTGTACACTAGGGATATGTAGTGATCCACTGCCAGAGGCCTCATAGATTGCCCAGGCCTAATAACTTACACCCATGTTCAGGGGATCTAGATCAGTCCTATGCTGGTTGCTGGTTTCCCAGTTGTCAGTCTGGAGTCCATGAGCTCTCCCTTGTTCAGGACAGCTGCCTCTGTGGGTCTCTCCAGCCTGGTCTTGACCCCTTTGCTCATCACTCTTCCTTCTCTGCAACTAGATGCCAGGAGTTCAGCTCAGTGTACAACTGTGGGTGTTTGCTTCTGCTTCCAACAGCTACTGGACAAAGGCTCTAGGATGGCATATAAGGTAGTCATCAATCTCATTATGACATTATCCATTCAAGTATCTTCTCCGCTATTGGTTAGATTGTTAGTTGGGGTCATCCTTGTAGATCTCTGGATATTTCCTTAGTGCCAGATTTCTCTCTAAACCTATGGTGGCTCCTTTTATTATGGTATCTCTTTTCTTGCTCTCCTCTATTCTTCCCTGACTCAATCTTCCTGCTCCCTTATGTCCTCCTCTCCCTTCCTCTTCTCCCCTTCTCTTTCTTCTAACCCCCCTCCCAATTAGCTCAAGAGATCTTGTTCCTTTCCCTTTCTCCAGGGGATCATGTATGTCTCTGTTAGGGTTCTCCCTGTTTCCCAGCCTCTCTGGCAGTGTGGACTGCAGGCTGGTAATCCTTTACTCTGTGTCTAAAATCCATATATGAGTGAATACATACCTTGTTTTTCTTTTTGAGACTGTGTTACCTCACTCAGGATGGTTTCTTTTAGTTCCATCCATTTGCCTGCGAATTTCAAGATTCCATTGTTCTTTTCTGCTGAGTAGTACTCCATTGTGTAAATGTACCACATTTGTTTTTATCCATTCTTCAGTTGAGGGGCATCGAAGTTGCTTCCAGTTTCTGGCTATTACAAATAATGCTGCTATAAACATAGTGGAACAGATGTTCTTGTTGTATGAATGTACATCTTTGGGGTATATGCCTAAAAGTGGAATTGCTGGATTTTGTGGTAGACTGATTCCCATTTTCCTGAGGAAGAGCCATACTGATTTCCAAATTGGTCATACAAGTTTGCACTCCCACCAGCAGTGGAGGAGTGTTCCCCTTTTCCCACATCCTCTCCAGCATAAACTGTCATTGGTGTTTTTTATTTTAGCCATTCTGACAGGAGTAAAATGTTATCTGAGAGTTGTTTTGATTTGCATTTCCCTGGTGGCTAAGGATGTTGAGCACTTTCTTAAGTGTCTACCAGCAATTTTAGACTCCTCTATTGAGAATTCTCTATTTAGTTTTATATCCCACTTTTTAATTGGATTATTTGGTGTTTCTACAGTTCTTTGTATGTTTTGGGAATCAGCCCTCTGTCAGATGTGGAGTTGGTGGATATCTTTTTCCATTCTGTGGGCTGCCTTTTTGTCTTGTTAACTGTGTCCTTTGCCTTACAGGAGCTTCTCAGTTTCAGGAGGTCCCATTTATTAATTTTTTATCTCAGTGTCTGTGCTGCTGGTGTTATGTTCAAGAAGCAGTCTCCTGTACCAATTCGTTCAAGGGTACCTCCTACTTTCTCTTCTTAGAGGTTCAGTGTGACTGGATTTATGTTGAGGTCTTTGACTTAAGGTTTGTGCATGGTGATAGATATGGATCTATCTTCAGTCTTCTACATGCCAGCATCCAGTTATGCCAGCACCATTTGTTGAAGATGCTTTCTTTTTCCATTGTATAGTTTTTGATTTTTTGGTCAAAACTCAGGTGTTGGTAGGTATGTGGGTTAATATCAGGGTTTTCAATTTGATTCCATTGGTCTATCTGTCTATTTTTTGTCCCAGTGCCAAGCTGTTTTCAGGACTATAGCTCTATAATAGAGCTTGAAGTCAGAGAAAGTGATGCCTCTGGAAGTTCTTTTATTATTGTACAGGGTTGTTTTGGCTATCCTGAGTCTTTTTTTTCCATATAAAGTTGAGTATTATTCTTTCAATGTCTATGAAGAATTGTGCGGGTATTTTGATGAGGATTGCATTGAATCTGTAGGTTGCTTTTGGCAAGATTGCCATTTTTACTTAGTTGATCCTACCTGTCCAAGAACAAGGGAGATATTTTCATTTTCTGGTATCTTCTTTAATTTCTTTCTTTAAAGACTCAGAGTTTTTTGCTATACAGGTCTTTTACTTGTTTGGTTAGTGTTACCCCAAGATATTTTATGTTATTTGTAACTATTGTAAAGGGTCATGTTTGGATTCAATTGCCCATTACTATTTAGCTAGTTAAGCCATGAATATTTTCCAGAAGCAAGCCTTGGTTGCTAAAGTAAACTTTAGTTATAGGTACCACGTCAGCATTAATAAACAGGAGGAGAACATTGTACATTGGCTGTAAATTGGTGATTATATGCCATGAGATAGTATATCTTATTGTGAGTTAGTTTTCTATAGTGTTTAAACTGGTTATTGTAATGAATATCTACCTGTGTTTCTATCATATCTCTGTAACTTCTTTGGGAAATTTTAATGATTTGATCTAAGTTAACAAAATGTTGATCATTGTTCATTGTATCTGTTAACCATTAGGGATTTCTCCTAGTCAGTAGCAGGTTACACCACCAAGCATTTTTTCCTATAAGTTGTACATGAACCTTTAGCAAACAATGTAAAAAGTAAGTGGACTAAAACAGAAATTGTTTAGAACTATTTTCAAAATAAAATACAGTTATTCTTTTATTCGGTTTGATTATTTGACTTTGTTGCTGTAATCTGTGCCCTGTAAAACTTCACTGTGATCCTCTTTTGCAGAGTGGATGCATTCCTTTCATGGAGTGAGAGGAGATTCTTCTCTGTTTCTAATTATTCATGTTGTCACCTCAGCACTTTGCTGAGGGTATTAACATGGAGCAGCCAGGACAGTTCATGGTCAATTTGAGTATTGTGCTCTTCTCGCACACAAGTAGACGGAAGTAGCCCTTTCACAAGTTTGCTGGTTGGGGATGAAGAGACGCTCTGTGATCAGGAACTCTTGCTACTCTGGCACAGTGTCTGGGAAAATGTCTTGTGGCTCACAACCAAATGTAGCTCTAGCTGCAGAGAAATCTGATGCCCATTTATGGCGCTGGCACACAATACTGTGTTTTACATACCTGTGTATAGACACACATGTATACAGACAATTAAAAAGAAAACAAATCGGTTAAAATAGTGTTTCGCTTCTGCATGGAGGAGAAAGCATGGAGTGATTGTGAATTCCTAGGAATGTGCCCATAGGAATGTGCCTATGAGGAATGAATGAGAGATCTAACTGAAAACTCACAAAACCATTTTCTTAGTCAGACTCAACCATTTCTGTTTTGCCTCCACTCTGTTTTTACAGTTTGCTAAATGTTTATGTACATTTGCATGTTTTAGGTAGTATTTCCACTGTCTCATTTCCAAGACATTTAGCTGCAGGAAGATAATGCTTTTATTCCTTTCTGTTTCAGGACACGATGTGTTCCCCCCTGCGTTGCCAGATCAGGAGCCTACAAGTTCTGAAAATACATTGGCTTTGATGGATGATTCTGGATGTGTTTTATCAAATGAGCAGCGAAGCGAACCTGCAGAGCTGTCCCAGCATTTGGTGGAGAGCTGCAGTCCCCCATCCCTTCTACCACTGCCTCTTGAGAGAAAGCCATGCACCACCCTGGAAAATCCTCCGTCTTCTCACCTGCAGTTCTTGCAACATCTGCTTGAACTGAAGAAACTGACAGAATCCAGTAGTCTGAAAATATACTTAGCCCACTTTGAAAAAGACTCTTCCACTGTTTCTGACTCTGTTTCACAGTTGTTAGATGGCCTGATAACGTTTTACCGTAACCCCAAACTCCCTTTCTCAAGCTTTTGGACTGAAGCTGTTGGTACATTAGCTAGACTGGCGAGTGATTTTAGTTTATCTAATCATATTCTTAAAAAATGTTCTAAGAAGTTAGAAGAATTTGAGAAAACTCTCCTACAGGCTATTTTAGGGAACAACAGTATAAACCGGGTGAGTAACATATCTTACGTATTTATGACTTACGATCTAAACAGTTTCAATGAACATGCCTTTTGCCTGAGATAGTTGGTGGTCCTTTCACATTGGTGGCTGAGAGTCTGCAGTTGGGTCTGCGCACCTCTGTCCCTCTCTTCCCAGTTGCCTGTTTCTAGCCTTCTGTTGCTCCGGAGATGCCTCTGCGTCCTGCTTTTGCTACCTCTAGTCTGAATTCTTTTGATTTAAATGTTTTAGCTTTTATCCTTTGAATTTTGCTTTGTTTGTTTGTTTTCTTTTGCCTCTGTTCATGGATCAAGGGTTGCAATCCTTTCCAGATGACGACTAATGCCCAAGGTCCCCCCACATTATGACCTCCCTAAAGTTCCTTGTGTCTAATGTCAGGAAAGAGATTTGAGGGAGAAGTAAAGGCTTAAGTTATTAACGTTACTAGTCCTAGGCAGAGAACCAGAAGCCAGGGCACAGTCTGCTTTAAAGTCCATTACAATATTCTATAGGTTCTGAAGAGCATACATCTGTTGGCCCCCTCATTGTTCTTCCGCCTATAATGCTGATCTCTAGAACGATGAACCCAAGATCTGCTTTCAGGCTTTTTGGTAATTGTTAAAGTGACTAGAATAAATAAGATGTCCTTTTCATTTGGTTTCTAGATATTTGATCATCATACAAGTTTTATTTTAAAACAGTTGTGGGTCTGTTTCTTTGGCTGTAAGTGCTGTTTCAAGGTGAGGTCTGAAGGCTTATATATGGGTATGATTTTTCCCCTTTTTTAAAATTTAAATTAGAAACAAGCTAGTTTTACATGTCAATCCCAGTTCCCTCTCCTTCCCTTCCTCTCCTGTCTCCCACTGAACCCTATCCCATCCCCTTTCTGCTCCCCAGAGAGGGTGAGGCCTTCTATGGGAGATCTTCAAAGCCTGTCATATCATTTGGAGCACAGCCTAGACCCTCCCCCGTGTGTTTAGGCTGAGCGAACATCCCTCTATGTGTAGTGTCCCAAAGTTCATTTGTGTACTAGGGATAAATACTGATCCACTACTTGAGGCCCCACAGGTTAACTAGACCTCCAACTTACATCCTCAAAATTAACTAGTGAGAAATGGTCGTCCAAGGAACACCTTGTATAGACTAGAGTTGTTGCAATGGTTGAACCATTAACATACCAATCATTTTAAGGTTTGCATATACTTTCTTGCCAGTTAAGACATTGAGGCAAACCAAAATTTATCATCTGTTTCTCCTCTTTTTATGTGCCACCAAGGCCAGTTGGTGATCTTGCCCTCAGGGGTCTCTCGGGTTTGGGACCAGTCTCTACATCTTCTAGTCTTTCTTATATCAGCTGTTCCACCTATGTGATGATAAGTGAAAGGCCTTTGCTTGAAAGCACTGAAGAAGCCATTCCTCTGTACTAACCCTGATCTTTGTAGAATGGACATTTGTTAGAGTTCACCAAATAGGGTTTTCATCACCTTCATAACAAGTGATGCCCCTAAATTTCAGAACATTTCTAGAGATGCCCAGCACTTCCCTTGGATCTAGTCGACCTTGGTGAGAAAAGGGGAAAAAAGTCTTTTTTCAGTCCACTTGATAACATTAAAATATAGGCCTCCAAAAATGGTATTGAACACACAGAAGGCCAGTTGTACCAGTCTTATCCCTTTTATTAGTGCTGTGTAATATTTACCAGTCCTCCACTGTGTTGGTTTTTTTGGTTGTTGTTTGTTTTATTTTCATTTTGATGCACTGTTTTGCCTGATTTAGTTTACACTGAGTTTTCGTTTCGGTTGTTGTTTGTTTTATTTTCATTTTGATGCATTGTTTTGCCTGATTTAGTTTACACTGAGTTTTCGTTTCGGTTGTTGTTTGTTTTATTTTCATTTTGATGCATTGTTTTGTCTGATTTAGTTTACACTGAGTTTTCGTTTCGGTTGTTGTTTGTTTTATTTTCATTTTGATGCATTGTTTTGTCTGATTTAGTTTACACTGAGTTTTCGTTTCGGTTGTTGTTTGTTTTATTTTCATTTTGATGCATTGTTTTGCCTGATTTAGTTTACACTGAGTTTTCGTTTCGGTTGTTGTTTGTTTTATTTTCATTTTGATGCATTGTTTTGTCTGATTTAGTTTACACTGAGTTTTCGTTTTGGTTGTTGTTTGTTTTATTTTCATTTTGATGCATTGTTTTGCCTGATTTAGTTTACACTGAGTTTTCGTTTCGGTTGTTGTTTGTTTTATTTTCATTTTGATGCATTGTTTTGCCTGATTTAGTTTACACTGAGTTTTCGTTTCGGTTGTTGTTTGTTTTATTTTCATTTTGATGCACTGTTTTGCCTGATTTAGTTTACACTGAGTTTTCGTTTCGGTTGTTGTTTGTTTTATTTTCATTTTGATGCATTGTTTTGCCTGATTTAGTTTACACTGAGTTTTCGTTTCGGTTGTTGTTTGTTTTATTTTCATTTTGATGCACTGTTTTGCCTGATTTAGTTTACACTGAGTTTTCGTTTCGGTTGTTGTTTGTTTTATTTTCATTTTGATGCACTGTTTTGCCTGATTTAGTTTACACTGAGTTTTCGTTTCGGTTGTTGTTTGTTTTATTTTCATTTTGATGCATTGTTTTGCCTGATTTAGTTTACACTGAGTTTTCGTTTCGGTTGTTGTTTGTTTTATTTTCATTTTGATGCACTGTTTTGCCTGATTTAGTTTACACTGAGTTTTCGCGGCTTCACTCCTCCAGCCAGCTACCAAAGAGAGAGGAGACCTAGAAATGGCTAGATTTGAAAAGCATGTGTGATTTTACAGCAGTCCAGAGAAAACATGGGAAAGCACAGAGCCCACCCTTAACCTAAAGGATAAACTCTAGGTGCTAGACAACCTACTGCTAATGGGCAGCTGTGATAGCCATAGGCAAAGAGAAGTCAGCCTCCTTACGATGACATAAAAATGTGCTGACCTTATCACTTGGCAACACAGCCTCTGCTAGAGTCTCCTCTGGGCCTCCCATTTCCATGATTCCCTTAGGTATCCAGGGAGGTGAAAACAAAAGCAAAACAGCAACACCAAAATGGGAGAACATTGGGATATGGGAGTGAAAGAATGCCTGTGGTACATGAAATCCAAGGGGTACCATGAGGTTCTATGGTTTATGCCATATGGTTCCATTAAACAAGGCGGCAGTTAAGTCCCATTGCTTTCCTACTCTGGATCTCTCTCTAGCCAAGATGCTCATCTTTGTAGACTGGGCCACTGGTTAGGATTGACCAGGTGCAGTCTCCCTGAACAAGGGGCCAGGTGACTCCTGAGCATGACAGGATCTTTTGAGAAGTGACACAAATCCCTTGGGACTTACTTGACCTCAGAGAACACTGAGAGATATATTTTTCTAATCCCTTTTATTATGCTGGTTAGTCTGCAAGTATGGTTGCTGAAATTCTAAGATTAGTTACTCCAGTCTGCTACTTTTCACTATTGTGATATATTTAAATAAAGCTTGAAAAAACCAAATGCTTAAGTAAACTTTGATCAGAAGCGCATTTTTGTTATTTAAGCTAGTCCTTGTAATTTTTATGGGGATTATTATGCTAATTGCTTTAAGAAGCAGTTTGACATCAATGTATTGAACTTTGACCTTTTGCATGATGTATATAACATGTTCTTTTTCTTGCAAAATTACTTAAATTTCCATATTTCTTTTTCGTTCTGGAAAAAAATCAGGGTGTCATATAGGACAAATTAATATTATTTAACATCACCTTACTAAAAGGAAGTTGAACCCAAACTGCATACATGATAAATTAATATTACCTGTGTTCATATGTTAAAACACTAAGCTTGGTAAGTTCCCAGGTAAACGTTATAGAAAGCACAAGGCAATACATAAAGTAATCTATCATAAATCTTGCTTTTGGTCTTGAATGAGTGTTGAAAAGGCAGCTGAGTAATTACTTTATTAGAATCAGTTTGTCCTGTCTGCAATAAGGTGGAGACAGAGAAGTAGACAAAGAGAGATGCCTGGGTTCGGTGTTGTTTCTCCCTCCCTTTATTTCCTGATTCACCTACATGGCATGTCCAGTCTGTCATCAGAGAGTAGTTAGTGTGGTCTAGTCTGTTCCATGGACAGTTCCGATTAAAGTATGTGATTTCTGCACCTTACCAATGGCTCAGTCCATTACCATCTCCCAGTTTACTCCTTTCATGAACGACAGAAAACTGCCAGAGAAAGCAGAATCCATTTATCTGTGTTCTGGGTCCTGCTCTCATAGCGTCACAGGATCTGGTGATCAGTCACAGCACTAACAACAGAGCCTGATACAGAATGGAGGAAGATAGCCTCAGGCCATTAGCCCATTGATGCACTGGGGGAGCCCAAGAGTCAAGACTGATATTCCGCATTTGGGGACCCATCCACCTACTGATTCAGAAATTCTAGGCACTTGTAGAAATCGACTGACTATTAATTCTACTTCCAAAAGGGAAGAACCAGGGCACACATAGAACCACTTCACAACAAAACCAGAGTCTAACACTGTAAACAGCTCAGTGTCCAATATCTAGGATTCACTCATATGCTTTTGGGCTCTAAAGGACTTGGGCAGCTCTGTTTCTCTGGTTCTCCCTGCCAAATCACACACAGTACATCTGGTCATCACACAATCCTAGCATTTCCTTTGCGTTTGTGTCACCCAAACCAGTACCATATGGGAGACTCTTACACATTACGAAGTTTAGCTGACAGAATGAGAGGCAGCCTTGGCCCCTCTAGACCATAGTCTCTGTGTGCTGAATCTTAGTAAATACTTTACAGAGGATTTACCTCAATAGTACTGGTCTCATATTAGTCACAGCTGCCATAGCTGACAAGCAGGCTTGCTGACTATCTCACAGATTTGGCACTAATGCCCATCACTTTCCTGTCTGATCCCCAGACAATCAGGCTGGACACCTTTCAGGGGATAAACAGCTTATGAGAGCTTCACACCTGTGACTTGGGCCACAGTCTAATG